GCCAGGGTCAGCCCACCACAGTAATAGACTTTTTAAAAAGCTGCAATAATTATTAAAAAGATTTCAATAAAAAGTTTAAACACATTTAAGTTTCAAAAGACTATTTTGTACATTTTGGAAAAATATAACATTTACTTTACATAACTGAAACATAACTTATATTCTTTCTAGTTTGTAAGCTTCCATTACTCATACATTCTCTCATACATTCTCTTATACTGCAGTCTTTTCTGCAGATTGTAAATCTAATGCAAAAGTATCACTGTTCTGAAGAAAAGCTTGTTTCTGCATTAGTTTCCTGAAAAGTCCATTTGGATTTGCAAGTAGTTCCTCATGTTTTCCACTTTCAAGAATTTTACCCTGGCCAAGGACTGCAACAAAATCAGCATTCTGAATAGTAGACAGGCGATGAGCAATAATGAGCACTGTCCTCCCTTCCATCAGCCGGTCCAGAGCTTCTTGCACTAGATACTCATTTTCCGCATCCAAAGCACTAGTAAGAAATGGGAAGCAGGGAGGGGAAGAGAGGACGATATTTGTTACTTTACGACAGGTTAGTTTTGCATGCATTAGGCTGCTTTTGCTAAAACTGCAAACCCTTGCTATTGCTGAAGATGAACCAATGGAACTGCAGGAAAGTTTCCTGAACAAGCTTAGTGCACACATCCAAGATAAATGCATCATATATTCTCATATCCAAAAATATGCATGGAGAAATAACACTAAATTAATTCAGTGAAAAAAAAAATATACTGCAGTATCGTCATCTTTCTTTAACACTAAGATCTTAATTTAAACTAAAAATACAAAAAAGCTTTAAGTAGATGTTTCAAAATCAAGTTACGTATTACAAATTTAACTCCATGAAAAATTACAGTAGAGGTTACCATCTATCCTTTCCACTTTACGTATAAACAGCTTTTGTCACAGGTCTCCTAATCGAATCACACATCCTAGAAAGCACATTCGTTTTGTGGGTAGAGAAAAATAAGGGGCTAGGTAATTTGTGCAAGGGCATGCAGGAAAAGAAAGAAGACAGAACATCTCACACGCCCAAGGTTTACAGATAATAATTAGAAACTGAAAAATTACCTATTTTCTTTCTTACCTTGTTGCTTCATCTAACAGAAGAATTTTAGGATTCTGAAGCAGAGAGTAAAATTGGTTATAATAACAATTAGACAGGATCTGAACATTTCTATCAACAGAGAACAGAATTCATAGAGCTTAAAATTCCAAGTAAGTATAATTATTTCATCAAAAGAACTTAGTGTCATTGGAAGCACTACTTTTAAGAAGTCTAGATGCTAAGAGGACAAAACAGAAACAACACATTTCCATCTTCAAATCTTGCAAACTGAAGTAAAACAACACTATTGCCAGATCACTTTTGATCTGAAAGATACGACCATTGATTTTTAATGCATACTTGGCAGCACTGCGGTCAAAAGTCCAATTTCCTATATACTGCTCTTACGTGGATCTTTCACAGAGGCTGAGCTACCCTCTGCTTGCAGTGAGTCTGCTGTGTATAACTGTCTAGTAACAAAAACTAACAAAAACCTACCAACAAGCAGTATGTCACCCACAGATGAAATAAATGCTAATTCTTAAGTACTATGTAAGAACGCTTCCTAATTACAGAAAACCCAAAACCCTAAGAAGCCGTTTCTGAATTACAGTGCATAACCCAAACTTGCTTGTTGAAGTTGACAATAAAAGCTTCAGACTTTATCTGGAAGAAAAGGGACTCCACTGAACCCCCAGTCAGAGATACGTATCAGCTACTCATTTATTTCTTAAAACTTTCCCCAACGCCCAATTAAAATATCTACTCCCATGAACTGTACTCGACCTGAAATGCAATCAGCTTTTCAGCATTCGCGGTAAAAGGGAACTGGTATAATGCAGCCTAACGTGAATGTTAAGCTGGGTTCAGTAAGGCTCAAAACTTGGCCAAGCATCAGTCCCAAAATGCCTTCCTGTGAGGCCCCACGCCTGTCCCTGAAACAAACTCCTTGTCCTGATCCTCAGAAGCCTCGTCCAACTTGCGCAGCACAGAGCCTGCCCTAAAGCTAGACCCATGCCAACCTCTGAATTAAAAAAAATGACACAACATTATGCTTGAAATAGTATCTTGTCTCAAATCCAGACCAGTTTCCCTAAAAGCCGAGACAGAGCATCTATAGTACTGGTAAGCTGCAACCCAGAAAAATCAACCGAGTGATAGAGATCTGAACACAGAGACAGCAGTGTCATGTATGCGTTTCCTAGCACCACATTCCTAAAGTCTTCCTTCATCCTTGACCTGGTCTTAGGAAAGTGAGCCATTATACTATGATTTACCATCAACCTGGCCAAGAACTATAGAAACACATGGCTGAAAGACAGGAAGAAGAAGCACTTACGTAAATAAACGGTCTTTACTTAAACTCCGCATTCCTCTCAAACTTTTGTCATTAAGGTAAAAGATAGGATTTTATTTTTAAGAATATTTTTCCACCTCTCCCACTGAAAGGCCTCCTCCTTTTTAACTCTTTCTGCCTCCCCATGAATTAATTAGGTAGCTATTTGGGTGCTGGCTTACCTTGAGCAGAGCTCGAGCAATTGCAATTCGTTGCTTCTGTCCACCTGTCAGGGAAAAGTTTGGTACATTGAAATAGGAAAGCGGATGTGAAGTTATTTTAACTGAATGCCTGGGCTGAGCAGGATTAGGCACATGTACTTTAAGGCAGGGGGAATGGAGATGAAGGATAATACTAATGATTTTTAATACTTATGACTTGGAGAAGAAAATGGTAGCAAAAAATAATAGAATTTTTACTTCCCTCTATAGTATCAAGATTTTTAAAATAAGCAATTTAAAGACGTACCTGAAAGCAGAATGCCTTTTTCTCCAACTACAGTGTCAAACCCTTTTGGAAAATCTCTGATAAAGCTAGCAGCATTAGCTATCTCAGCAACTTTCTGAATCTCCTCTGCAGTCACAGTAGAAGGATCCTCTGCACCATAGGCAATATTTTCAGCAATAGAACAGGAGAACAGAATTGGTTCCTGATAAATTCAAAAACATAACCAATATGGTAGCTCTGTAATTACATGCATGTATTGCCTGTATCTCAAATAACATAAATCCCACTTACAAGACCCAGCATTGATTTCTTTTGTATCCATACAAAAGAATATGTAAGCTAGAGTTAATTGTATTAAAATCAAACAAATAAAAAAAGCCCTCTCCTAACACCAAAATGGGCAGTCAAAACCAATCAAAAAGTAAGTTGCTTTTTAAACTGCGAAAACATGACATAACCCTCAATTCCTAATATTTCAGGAAGAGTTCAGAAAGAGCTATTCATCAAGCATTAGAACATCTCCCCTCCATACTTTACTACATATCACTGTTTGCAACGACAATTCTTCTCTTAACAATATCTACACAGACTTCGTGGCTTTTTGTGCATTTAATTTACAGTAGAGCTTCAGAGAAGAGGACTGGCAGGGAGGGCAAGTGATGTACACCGGGAAAACGTCTGAAACAAGGTCAGTCTGCTCTGTTTATATAATAGAGACGGGCTATAGTACGCACACCAGAGTGAATCTCCTACTGGTAACTCAAGTGGAATACATACACTCAAAAAGAAAAATGCTAATGTGCCCACAGGAAAATCATTCCTGCACTAAAGCTTTTGGTGGCATTATTACATAAAGCAGATATTTGAAATGCAACATATACCCAGTTATCCTTAAGCTTTTAATCCCAACATCAACCTAATTAATTGTGCTGTGAAGCATGTGGGGACATGAGGGAATGAACATACATAGCTTAATTGGTCAAATAGCTTATTTTTAAGAGACCATTGAAGATCTCTATTGTCAGAGTCTAGGGGTTGCTAAGGGTAGGGCACTACAAGAGTAAGCACCAACAGTGCTGTATTTTCTTGCTTTCCTAATGGAATGGTGTTTGCCTGGAAACAACACAGAACACAGGTCAGTCTTCAAATGGTTGTGTTAAATATGATTGTGTAACTTCCATTAATACAAATGTGATTAAACATTCAGCTTCGTGTTACTTTCTTCAACAAATCATAGCAAACATCAAGATGGTCATGCCTACAGAATTTCAACAATGTACTTTCCAGTCTCCGCATGCACCCTTTCCTTTCAAGCTAACACTCTGAGTCTCTGTGATTATATAAAAGCAGACTCCAGAATAATGGGACGAGCTTGGAATACTTATTTTTAGAATAAAGCGTGCACAACAGCAGTTATAGTTAAGAAGATGAAAAGCGAGGCACAGATAGCTGATTACACAGTATTATTTCATTCACTTAGAAATTTATTTCCTTCCTTACCTGACTCACTGTTCCAATCTCTGTCCTGAACCAGAGCGGATTTAACTGACGGATATCAAAGCCATCAACAGTGATAGTACCTTAAATTAAGAACCAGTAAAGTCAAGCGTGTTTGACAAGTACTGAAAAGAGGCAGAAAGAACAGCTGAGAACAACGACCCAAGGAATCACAGGCGGGTGGACCAGAAACGCAAAGCTACGCGCAGGCACCACCGCAAGGTAACCATATACCCCAGGGGGCAGCACGGTGCATCAGCAGAATAACCACATCAGGACCTCAAGCACAGGGACCCACAACTATCTGTAAGGTGTATCTGAGATGCCAAGTATCAATTGTCACGAATGAGAGCAACACACAAAACACACCTGAGATAGGATCATAGAGCCTCAGCAGAAGGGATACAATAGTTGATTTCCCTGTACCACTTGGGCCAACCAGAGCCATAACAGAACCAGCTGGAATGGAAAGGCTAAAATCTTTGAAAATTGATGTTTCTGGACGCGTTGGATATGCAAACTTGACGTCCTTGAATTCCAATGCACCTCTGAACGTGTCTTTGCCTAATATGATTCCCTCTGTTTGACAAAGAATAAAATACAGAAATGTGAACAGAAACAAAGAAATCAGTCCAACCTTCTTAGAACTTGCTTTACAGACACCCAACAGAAATATCTATCTCCATGTTAAATCCAGGGATAGCTGCAAGGCCCAGTACAGGACCCACAGGGATTGTATTTCAGCCATGACTGAATCAGTGTGGTACACCACTCGTTCCTGAATGCAATTTTAGGTTGCTCACCAGCAGTGAACCTGTAAGGCTACCTAGAGCGAGAGGGAGAATTTCCATCTTGCTAACACCTAACCATGTTCACTTCTTGTATAATTATCTGCATTTTTAAACACATTATAAACAATTTAAGTTTTGTTAATTAGGAGCTCTGAAATAAAATGGCATTGTTGAAGGCCAAAGTCCCATTGCCATAGCAGGATGCAAAAAGATAAACACTGCAAATCACCTAGTGCCCTTTCACCGAGCCACAGAGTCACCTGAAACATCCTCCCCTTTGGACAAGCGCAGTTCCCTCTCCACTGCCTGTTAACTGCACAGCTTTTAAGCCAAGGCTGTCACCGGAATAAAGCTGCCGCTAGGTTTGTTGCATTGATGGGCTTTTTAAGTGGAAAGTATATTTAATAAATTCAGGACGACAGTGTACTCAAACGTCAATCAGAAGCAGAAGTCTTAGGCAACACTGAAACTAAAATTGCAGTTTGTGAAATACACTAATGAATGAATGATTGCCAGAGTTAAGTAAAACCAGGTTTTTTCTGGAGTGCAGCGTTTGACTTGAACAATTGACTTAAAAGACTATCAGTACTAGAAAACGCTTATAAAAAGGTAAGACAAAGAAACACAGTTTATTCAAGCCCTGTGAAATCCCACTGACACATATCCAATTGGAAGGGCAGTGATGCATTCCCAAAGGACAGAGTCCTTTGTGAAAACTGGCAGCACCAGAGCAACACCCGAGTAGTGCTTGTTCATGCTCAGGACAGGTAACTCAAAACCCTTCATGCTTTTCAGACGCAGCACACAGGTAATCCCCAACTAGCCACAGCACACACTAGCACAGGCCCATGTTTGGTTAAACAGTAACTGTGGACAGGAAACTCAGACACCCATCAGCAGCAATCAAGATTTCACTAGTCCTGCTGTTCATAAATCGAGTAATTTATTTTGCTTTTCTTTTTCCCAGATTGCCTCTTCTTCTCCACATTTTCAGTTTAATAGTAGCAGCATAGAAATGGCAAAGGCAAGAGACTCCTTCCCTGACTTTAATCCATGGTCATACACATTGTAATTTGTTTGTTAGGTAAAAGCACAGTGGTCTGTAAACCTCCCTTTGGGAAAAAAAAATGTATTTGCTAAATCCTCTGCTAGCAGCATAATACTTAATACATAATACTTGTTATCAAAGTAACAAGTAATTGCTTATCTTTATTGTTAGTTCCAGTTATTGCACAGTCTATTCCATGGCCTGAAACAGTGAAATCCACTGCAATACAGGAAGTCTGGTAGCACAAGTCCTTCCTCTATATATCACTATAAAAATATCTACAAGCTATATAGAGGATTGGGCTTGTTTCTTGTTTGAATCCTAGGTACAGAAAAAAAAGACATTGTAAGTTGTTCCTGAGATATTTGTTGTCATCAACAACAGCCTGAGTTCCATGAAAATAAAACCTAAGTAGCCAAGACAGTAGATGTTTCAGGTGGGTTTGGACAGTAGAGAAATAATCTCTTAGTTTTATTGTCCCAGAAATCAACCATAATTGGGGTTTTTTTTGAGACAGAGGTTTATATCCTTTCCATGTATTTAGATTATACTGCAAGAAAACTTAAAATAAGATTTCTGCAAACCTATGCTACATGGATCTGTGAAACCTTGTCCAATTTATGTTTGTTCTGAAAAAGAAAGATTGTCTTCTGGATGTCACTATTGGTGTAATTGAACAATCCAGTACCTTCGGTGGGAAAGACAACTTCTGCTTCTATACTACTGCTTACTCTGCACTGCAGCCACTGTAAAGATAAAGGCCACTGAAATAATCCAGATTAAAAAAAAAAGCAACCCACAAAAAAACAACCCACAAAACCCAACCCACACCCAAATGATGAAGAAATCAACAGTTGCACCAGGTCTCTGAAAGGCACTGCAACTGCAGCATCGTCAGTCATGTCCGGAAGGCTAAGCCAGCTTCACTGCTGAGGAAGAGGGTGTAGCTATCCCTTCACTAGCCAGCTGGTGGTTACCTTTTGGACAAATGCCTGCTATTCTAAGTTTGTCTCCACCCACTGAAGACAATATTGTTACTCTTCACTGTCTATGTAAAATCCATGCACACTGAAAAGCATCCTACAGACAGGCTTGCAGCTGTGAAGAGAAATGAGACAGAGGCCAGCCAGACCGTGACTTGGGGTCCATCAAATTAAGAACTCGAGGAATTGCAGTGTAGTGAAACAAAAGCACAAAAGAAAATTGAAGCACAGCATTTCAAAAGAATCTGTCTGTATCAACCAATTCAAAAGATGAAACTATTCCCTAACGCCAGAGCCTACTCAAGAAGAAATCTGTTAGTTCTGTTGGGTGTTCTTTTCCAAGCCTTCCTCTTACAGCAGCCCTTAAAAAACCATACCAAACTTAGAGGGAAACTACAAGTTGACAGCTCACCTGAACTTCGCTATACTGTATTTCTCAACAAAATACAGAGCTGGTAAAAAATTACATATGACTTTTCCTTAGTGGGATGCAGCTGATTAAATAAAACACCAATTCTCATAGAAAGTATCTTCAACAAGCAGCTAACTGAACTACTTTGATGGATACAGACAAATGATGTTGATACAAAATATACTCAATACTGGAGAGTGTTGTCTAGTTCTTTATTCTGAACAATAAAGCTGTAAATAAAACTATATTGCAAGACCTTATTTATGGCATTTAAATATTCTGAATTAAAGGAGGAAAAAACCCAAAACCAACAACAAATTTTCAGCTTCTAAACATTCAGATTAAAGACAACCATCATCATTATCATCATCTGTTTCACAGTTGGGAAAAGTCGTAAGAATTACCACTGTACCTAGTTTCACTCAAAAGCATGTAAGTTGGTGCTACCTTTAAGTATTACACACCTCTCTCTGAAGTACGGGTGACCAATAAGAGAAAAATCAAGCTATGAACAGCAACAAACCAAGGACCCACCATTAAATGGAAGTTGGGGCTTCCTTTCAATAAGTTCCCACAGACGTCCACCGGCACCTAGTCCTTTCATTAGTTCTGAATAAAAGGAACTTAGACCTAAACAAAAAGCAGACCAGTATTACGCATCCATATGGAATGGAAGACATAAGAGACATTAGATTTGCATTATACTTTTCATCACCAGCATTGAAGCATCAGACTTGTAGGGGATCTTCTACTCCAATACACTATAAACATGTTGATTTATATCTTATCTAGTCCCCCTTCAGAGCTACCAATAACCCTTATTGACCACTCTTAATTTGTATCTGTAAAACAAATCATTCTGAAGAAAAAAATAGAAAAATTTACTGCACGTAAATTTGCATATACACAAAAGCAAAGCAAACCTTTTATTTTCATTCACCTGTCGGGAAGAACAGCATCCAACTTTACAGAAATAGCCTTGCATACAACCAGCTATATTTTCAAAATCATTCTGTAGAACGGCGCACTCTGAATGCCCTTCTTTGTCAAATAGGGTCATACTACCACTGGAGAGCCTGGCTGAGTCAACCATAGGGGAAGGAGGGCATAAACTCTAAGGCTGACCTGACACTTGAGGAGCTATGTGGAGAATGGACAATGTAAAGAAATAAGATTCCCAAGTCTGTGTGCTTCAAACACCACTGGAGAAAGCAAAAGCTAAGGAACAAGGCCTGCACGCAGTACTTGGTCACAGCTCGTAGCAGCTCTGTGAACTCTCTTGGAGCTGGTGTGGCTGAAGGGCTTCCCAGCTGAAATAAACACAGAAACCAACTGTATTTGGTTTGCATGGGAAGATTTTGGTAACAGAGGGAGCTACAGGGGTGGCTTCTGCGAGAAGCTGCTGGAAGCCTCCCCTCTGCCCAACAGAGCCAATGCCATCTCCAAGATGGACCTGCCGCTGGCCAAGGCCAAGCCCAGCAGTGATGGTGGTAACACCTGTGGGATATAGTATATGAGGAGGGGAAGAGCAACTGTAGCCAGAGAGAGGAGTAAGAGTATGTGAGAACAGCTCTGCAGACTCCAAGGTCAGTGGAGAAGGAGGAGGAAGAGGTGCTCCGGGCACCAGAGCAGATTCCCATGCAGCCCACGGTGAGGCTGGCTGTGCTCCTGCAGCCATGGAGGGTCATGGTGGAGCAAAGATCCACCCACAGCCCATGGAGGATCCCATACCAGAGCAGGGGGGTGCCCAAAGGAGGCTGTGACCTCATGGGAAGCCCATGTGGGAGCAGACTGCTCCTGAAGGACTGCATCCTGTGGAAGAGGCCCATGCTGGAGCAGTACGTGAAGAACTGCAGCCCCTGGGAAGGGCTCATGCTGGAGAAGTTCATGGAGGACTCCATCCCATAGGGGGGACCCCACGCTGGAGCAGGGGCAGAGTGTGAGGATCCCTCCCCCTGAGGGAGAAGGAGTGGCAGAGACAATGTATGATGGACTGACCACAAACCCCATTCCCTGTCCTCACTGGCAGGGAGGAGGTAGAGATGTCAGGAGTGAAGTTGAGCCAGGGAAGAAGGGGGATGGTGGGAGGAAGAGAGTTTTAAGATTTGGTTTTACTTCTCTTTTACTCTGATTTGACTGGCAACAAATTAATTTTCCCCAAGTTGAGTCTACTTTGCCCATAACGGTAACTGGTGAGTGACCCCTCCCTGTCCTTGTGATGACCCACGAGCCTTTTGTTATATTTTCTCCACTCTGCCCAGCTGAGGAGGGCAGTGACAGAGCAGCTTTGGTGGGCACCTGCTCCCCATCCAGGGTCAGCCCACCACACCAACCTAGAACCAGAAAGTGGCTGAAGGGCTTTCCATTTGAAATAAACACAGAAACTCACCTAGAACCAAAAATGGGGTAAGACATAAATAGAAAATGTCTTATTTCTTCATTTTTTGTGTCTTTCAAAATAGAGTACCAAATTTAAACATCTTTGAATCAAATGTACAGAATAAACCACTTCCACCTCCATGCATATAGTGTTAAGAGAGATCTTGGGAGACCAGAAAACCCAAGGTGCATTAAAACAGGCTTACTGGTTTATTCTTGCAGAGCAACAAGCCCAGCACAAGGTCAGGAGTCTGTAAGTGTAGACAGGGCATTTCCTCATGCTGCTGCTGAGGACTATGTAAAAGCTTGCAACACAAGGCACTAGCCATGGTGAGAAGCCGTCTGGGTTGGGGAAAAACAGAGCCAGAGCATCTACATCCTAGAGCAGGGCACAGGGGAAAAGGCATGCGCCTCACAGGGCACCTTGAAACTGACACACACTGAGGTTTGCAAATTCATAACCACTCATAAAAATACATCATATAATACGGACAGCAAATGCTAATTAGAAAGTGTGTTGAATTTTCATAATCTGTCTTCAGTACCTGGCAGAAAATACAGCGAACTTACAACAAAAAGAGGCAAAGGCCCAAATTATGCAGTGAACTTCACAGTTCATTGAGTGGACTCCTATAGGTACCAGTGATGGCATACACCAAGCAGACTTGGCAGTTTGAAGATTTTGATGGTCTGCAGGCCATCAAGGAAGGCAAGCCTCTTGCGGCAAGACACCTTCACTGCAGAGTCAACATCAGAGCTCTGTGCAGAACTATATTCATCAATAATCTTAAGCAGAATTTTAAAAGTTGTTTTTATCACAAATAAAAGTTAATTCAATGACAATGTATCAGTGTTTCTAACCTTACTTTTCATTTATCTAACATTAATTATTGTCCCATGCTTTCAAAGTGCCACGTAACTGTTGATCAAATTTGTATGATTTAAGCAGAGAAGAAAAGGTTTTGGTAGTTAGAATGGGTGCCACTGGAATTTTGGTATCCAAGGAAGCAGGTTTTGTGAATTTTGCCCTCAGGCACATCTTTGTGCTTCCCAGACACCAGGCTTAGTCTTAGAGAAGAAGGAGTACAGAGGAGCTGCGTTGGCCTGACAGTCTATCAGAAGTAACAGGCTCATTTTAAAGAGGAACCCTTCCAATTAGCTGTCGAACTTTAAAGTACCTTATCTTCACTTTTGCCTGTATGCAGTAGTGAAGACTGCTCTGTCAAAAAGATCAACAGTTTGTTTCTGGGCCAGTAGATTACAGATTCTCAGCCTTCAGGAAGAGTCAGTCAGTAAGGAAAAACAAATGGTTAGCGCCAGCGTAGTGTTTGGCTGGCACTTTTTTCCAGCTCAAGACACTCTATACTCAATTACAGCTAAATTCTATGTGCATTCCTAAATATAGTATGTTGAACACAGACCCACATATTTTTTTAGAAAATACAATATCAGTATTATTTCTTTACACAATATACCCAGGACTTTAATTTAGACCCAAAGAAAATCAAAGTAATACACAACATTGGAAAAATAACCTCTGTATTCCTTTGGGAAAATGGAAGGCTTTAAAAATTTAAGTTGTAAATTATTATGTTCATTAACTCTTCAGAAAAATATTATGTATGATTTCTTTGGAAGATCATTTGGAAGAGTCTTTTTAAGAAAGCCAGATCTTTTAAGCACTTCTTCCCTCCTGCCCTGCCCTCACACTGACTGCATATTTATACTGAAGAAAATCTGATTTCTCATTCCATACCTCCAATGCTTATTCCAACCCAGAAAGCATACATAAGGAAAGATGAGAGTTCGCCAACTGTCATGTAGGCACTGCCCATTAGTAATCCTCCTTTGTATAAGACTGAGAGGACAATTAAGTTTCCAGAAAGGCCAGTCTAAGGAAAAAGAAAAAGAGGAAAAGGCAGATTTTGTCACATACATCTTAAACTTCATCCTCTGCAATGTTGTTTCAGAATTTTCCTTCTAATAAAAGAATGCCCATACTATGGGTATCTGGATTTTCAGAGGACTGAATTAAATTTGAACAAAACCAGTTCTCAAGCAAACCAAGCCAACAGCTAGCCAGACATCCAGTGGCACAGCACTGCGCTGCGCTACCCAACAAGTGCTCAAAAAGCAAGCAACTGTTTGGTTTTTTGGCCTCATTCCCCAAGATGGAAAGGAACACCAAACATTATTCTCAACCATCGTTAAAGGATAAGACTTGATAGTCTGCAGTTAAATTGCAGATTTAGAATACTGTTAACCAAACCCACTGCAAGTTGTTATGGAAAAACGCATTCCCACTCTCCCTCCCCTACCTGCCCGCTCCCTGGCTTCCTTTGCGTTGATGCTCATCTCACCAGGGAGCCAAACCTGTAAAACGCTAAGGGTGGGCGAAGGTTTCCACCAGTTTAGTGCCCTGATAGGAGATATGGGCTCAGATAAACAGTACCACCCTACGCAGTGTGGGGCAAAGAGAGAGACTTAAACTGGTTTTATCATACCACTGTACCCTGAGGCACAGTTTCACAGCAATTTAGACTGATTTAAGTCCAGTCTTCCCACAGTTTTCATGTAGGCTCAATTTACACTCAAATAATTTATTTGCAGATTTATAAGCAGCTTCATGAACTTTAAAATAATTGACACTTGGCATAACATGGTTGGTTTACTTTCATCAAAATACACTTACTGCTCCAAAGAAGCCTGCCCGAGCTAGTGCCTCTTTTTTAGCCAGCTGTAGCACATAATCAACTTTTTTTGTATACTTCTCCATTTCAGCCACTTCTTGTCCAAAAGCTCGAACTGTTCTTATGTTTCCAATTCGCTCTTCAGCTAACTACAGGAAAGCAAAGAACAAAACAAAGACACAGAGTTTGGAATGTTCATATTACAGAACACTTGACAGTTAAACCAGTATCACTGCACTAATCTCCAAATACATTCGTTTAGATACCACTGAAAAATTTCTCATGCCCTCCTTCTCTCCTCACCCCCTCTTTTTTTAAATTCTATTAAGTCAAAAGTAAACTGCATGCCCAGGGAGTTTAAAAAGAGCCTCAAGATTGCCTTAAGTTTTAGCAAAGAAAGAAAAATGTAAAAGTAGCATTAAAAAAACCCCAAACCTTAATTTGATGTGAACAACACACAAAAGAAAATTACTATTCACAATAACCTGCATTAACAATGTGAGAAGGGGAAAAAATAAAGAATATTCTATTCTATGCTAAATCATGCAAGAAAGCCTGCAGTTATTTCCTGAAACAATTCCACTAATTTACCAAAACAACACTGGGAATTAATGTAGCTCAACTACCAATAACTACCATTTCAACTCAGTATTTTAACTTCTAAACAACAAAGCCTTAACTGTAAAATTACCTCAATTGTAACCAATTAGACTGAGTTGTTACATCCCCCATTCAGCCTGAAAATTTGAACAGAAGGCTAAAATTGCTTGTTCATGTGAAGTCCCACACGTGGGATGAGCTTCCCTTCAGCGCAGGATGAGGAAGATAAACAGAAGTGGGCTAATCTTCCTTCTGCACAGTCAAATTGCAGAAGTCCTAGATAGGACATCCCAAGTTTAAAACAGCTGACAACTGTGGCTATTTTAACTAGTTCTTTCCCAATTATATTTCTATGCATTTTAATTATGTTTCCTCACCCTCAGCCTGTGAGACAAAGGTCACTATCACTACTATTTCTCCAAGAGCGCTCTGCAATACTTTGGTGCAGTCAGCAAACACAATGAAGGCCTCTCTACAACAGCCTCTTTAGAAACAGCAGCTTCCTCTACTTTTCTCCCAAATATCTGGGTATGTGCTGAGATGCCCAGAAAAGTTTTAAAAAAATGTCAAGCCTCATAAACATTAAAGAGATGACAATAAGGTCAAACGCAAAGGATTCATTCCAGAGAAGGACTAGCTGGCAAAGTTTTCTTAAAAGATGAATCCATCTAAGATGTTTCTGATGGCTTCCAACTCATAACCACAGTCCAAGAAAAGTGGTTTTTAAACCCAGGTACCAAATTACACAGGACTTCATAGGCTGATGGGGTTTTTTTTATGCTCTCACACAGCTAAAGCCTAACCTCCTTATCCTTCCCTATATTTCCAAATTCTCAAGGCCTGGTACCTCCACATTATATTGTTACGGACAGCTCTTTACAAAGCACGGTTGGTTTTGAGATCTACGAGTAAGTAGTACGGCAGTTTACCTTTCAGATTGTTCAGGTGCAAAACTACAGGCTCAGCACGGCTTAGGGCAACAAAGAGTAGAACTATCTTCAGAAGATCTGTACTTCAGGGATAGTAACCTAAACACACCAGAGCAACTTTGAAGTTAACTGGAAAGCATCTGTTAAAAGATTACCTGTGTTGCTTCTGCAAGAGAATCTTGGGTCATTTTAGTAAGTTTTCGCAAGTATCTTCCATAAATCACAGCCAGGACAGCCAAGGGTGGTACAACGCTCAGAACAAATGCAGCAAGGCTAGGAGACACAAAAAACTAGAAGAAAAAGGTATGTGTCAGGGGTTAGCATTCAGATTATAAACCACCCACTGGAGTACTGAAATGCAACTTCCCTCGCTAGGGTTTTAGAAAAAAACTAGTAAGATTGTAATTTAGTGCTGCCATGCTTTAATTTATCATGTTTTCTTTCTTCCAGGCAAAATATCCATTCCTTCACAGCATCTGGGGAGTGTATCCTATGGTTAGAACAAAGGATTATAAGCAAAGGGGTCTGGATTTCATTTCTAATTTTCTCACTGGTTCACTGTGTGGTCTTAGCCAAGTTATCTTAACCTGCCAGTAAACAGGCCTACCAGGAAATCTCTTGGGGAGGCTGAAAGACATCAGCTACTACACAGTTTCTAAAGAGCTTTCACAACTTTTAAATAGATGGTGTAATACAGAAAGTTTGAGTAGAGAGATATCCTATGTTACTTCTGGATAACCGGGGACCAGGAGTCACCAGTGCTCCCTAGCACTCACAAATGCTCATAACTTGGAATACTGGATTTAATATACCGTTGCAAAACCACATCACTCGTAACAATTATCATCACAGCTCCTAAATAAGTTCTTTTCGTAAGATTTACTGAAGTTATATCTAATGTGTTTTCATTTCATCTTGCTTTCTATACTGAAAATCTCCAGGAAAATTAAAAATTGACTTAATTGACAGGCTTTATAATTATTCCATAATATTCTCTTACTTCTGGGCAAGCTTTTATAGGCCACTCTTTAACACTGCATCATGGCAGCATTTTTGAGCAGAATGCCTGACATAGTTATTCCAGTTAATCTATGGTAAGATAAAACCTTAGACTCTATTTGCTTAGATAAACACAGAAAGACATTATTCTTATCAGTGACAAAGTATTAAAGTTTTAAAGCTTCATAACGGAAACTCTGAACCATTTCTAAGAACTTCAATCTTGGAAGCTAATTTTAATGTGGAGACATTTTGCTATCTCTTTTTAACTGCAGATAGAGAGCATAAATCTTTCATTTAAGATAACTGTCACCAATGTATTTTTCCTCAGACAAGCATAAAAATTAAGGAAAAAAAAACCCAAACGCAAAAAACAAAACCAAAAAAACCCAACCCCAACCCAACCTAAACCAAAACCCCAGAACATTATGGAAATCAGATTTTTATATAAACCAGCTGCCCACCAAGGAATATAAGCTGATGCACTGCACTGAATCTTTCATTAATGAAGCCTTCATTAACGTGCTTCCTACCTAAATATATTTGTTACTGACAGACTAAAGCAGAAAGACTGACACTAAAAAATCCTCAGCAGTGATTTGCTATTCAGTGCTGCCTTTGCTCACCTAGGCCTTACCCAGAATCAATCAACTTCAGTGACTTTTACATCCGGCCCTTCACACTCTATTTTACCTAAAAACCATGGGAATATTAATGACTGATTTTAATATCTTTAGTAAGAACAGAGTTAAGCTATGTGCGTATCATCCTTTGCTTGATAAATTTGGGCAGCAACAGCAGTTAATTTCAAACCCCTGTCCTCCATACTTTGGCTTCTGAAGTGAACATCAAGTGTCTACTGGCACATCACCTACTGAAATGCAGTACGTGGATAACCAGTGAAATATACTTGTATCCAAGAACACACACCAGTTTCTGGACTGAATCATGTTCACACATTACCTAACAGAACTAAAACAAAGAACTACAAGAAGTGACAAGCAGGGAAGAGACCACCGTACCATCATTCCAACCCCCACAGATGCCTGTGCTCCTGCCCTGAGCCCATCGGAAAGGTTTTCAGTCACTGAACGGCCTAAGAGGGCTGTATCTGAAGATAAGCGGTTTATCAGCTCTCCTGTTCTGGTCTTGTCAAAAAAAGCGGTTTCTTGCTTCAGAATAGAGGAAAACATGGTTGTTCTCAAACGTTTCACAATTCTTTGTCCTGTCAGAAACACAAGTCAGTCAAGCATGGCACACAAGACTACACAGACACTGACAAAACAAAAATCACAGGATTATGCAGCACTGAACAAGTCACATTAGAAGATAGTGAGCTTTAAAATATCACGTAGCAGTAAATAAAAACGAACAATTATTCTAGCATACTTACTTTGCACCACTAGTTTACCTTTGATCTGCTTAAAAAAGCTACTGATACCAAGAGGATCTCTCAGCCAGTGCCAAGAATTTATTTCAGATCATTAGATATCCTGACTCTATGAAAAAAGGTGACTCTCACTAACACTTTTTGCTTCTGTTTTTACCTGCAGTCTGCATAAGGTAGACACGAGTAGCGTTAGCAGCAGCACCACATAAAAAGATTCCACTTAGCAAGGCACAGAAGCTGGTCAGGCTGTCAGTGAAGTCTTCACTGGGATTTGTATAAATAACATCAATAACTTTACCCAGAAAGAAAGGGGCTGACATGGTAATGACACTGGAAACTGTCAGAAAGCCAACAGCAGCTGCAAATCAACAAGGAAAAGGAAAATAAAATTATTCTGATTGCAAGATCATTAATAATACACACAAAATAATTTTTCACTTGGAATTTCTACTAAGCTTGCAAGTGTCAGCATTAAATAATTAGCATTCTTCTAGGCCCGGTTCTGAACGGGACATTTTAAGTCACTGCATAAATTAACTTTGGCAAGGCATGTTTTAAGATGTTTGAAAGCCTCTGTATACAATCACAGTCCTGGAATTGATTCTCTTGTCTAACCTCTCCCACCACCACCCAACAAAGTTAACTCTTCAAAGATGTCGTCCTTAAAGAGCGTTCACAGTTAGCAAGTCTTCCGTATCTCTCTCACAAGGCTTCTCACTCCTGTTTGGTTTGGGTTTTATTATGCATGCCTGCTACCGTAATAAAGCTTCCAGGTGTCTGTCTGTGAGAGCGCAATGGACTGAAGTAAAGATCTGATCTGAAACATGTCTAGAACATGCAATTTTATTTGGGAAAAAAACAAACCAAACAATAAAAAAGCCAACCAACCAAACCAACCAAAACCCCCCAAACCACCCATCTGATTTACTCTTGACTGGCAAAATTTATATACATTTATATAAATATATATATATGTATGCATTTGTTTTACTCTTCACTATTGCTGGTCTAAAAGAAAAACAGCATAGGTTTGAATAGAAGCATGTTTGCTGATGGGCAGAGAGCTCCTGAATTCCAGTTGCAAAATCACCCATGGAAGAACCTGTGTAACTGCTTGAAGGTGTATCAGACAGCATGAAAAATCGCACTGGACCAAGACTTAGCCTTTTGAACTTTAATCTGCAAAGATATTTCTTGAGCCAAGAACACAGCTTGATTCTAAAAAGGCAAGCCAAGCTTGGAAGGCTGAGAACTAGGATAAAAACCTTCTTAATTGAAAACTGAACAAACTTTAAATGAAAACCACTGAACCACAACAAACAATACTACTAATACAGCATAATATTCCAACAGTCAATGCCACACTTGAAGCAACCATTCGTAGGACGGCTATAAAACTACTAGCAGATAATGCCCTTAAAGGCAAACAGACACTGTACTGAAAATCCTGAAATTGCCTGAGCTTTAGTCCCATTCTACTGAGCTTCTGTATCCCTTCTACGATGAAGACAGCAGAGAGCCTCCCAGCAGAAAAACTGCTTACAGCAGTGTGCTAACATCTGTCATGGGATTGTTTGATGCCTCTCACCACCTCCACACACACACACGCAAAGCTTTGCTTCAGTTCATGCCTAAAGTGTAAACACAGCTGTGCATTTATGATCATGAACTCAAGGTACAGAAAATGCGTGCCTGCCACCACCTGAAGCAAACACTTCTCTGCACCTTCACTGCATGCCTCAGCGCAGCCCTGGGAGAGCTCCGCACACTGCCCAAACAATCTTTATCTGTGCCGGGGTGTCCAATCTGCTGCCTGCGGTTCTTATTCGGGATTTGTTTGTGATCTTCCTGCTGCGTTACACTCAGGCCAGCAAACACGTTAAAGGACTGAGATGTTTAACTTGAAGCTACAGAAGCTGTAAGAAGCCAGAGCAGAAAGGGAAAGAGTGATCCATGCCACAGACACATCTCACAAGCACGTTATTTACTAGTGAAAACTTCCTCAGCATGAGCGACCTAATTAACAGGCTGGCTGCATTGGTGTAGTCAAGCTGTGATGCGGCGGGAAAAATCCAACAAGATCCAGGTCATCTCCTGTCAGGAAAAGCTGATCTACAAACAGCTGGAGATGGTCAAAAGCATTGCTTATAAGCCCAGCGCTGCATAGCAGCTCAGTCTCCACTCGACAATTCCCCAGTTACGGATGGAACTGGACAACTGCATACTTAGTCACTGAAGGAAGAAGACTGTACGGCCAAAAATCCCGTATGGCTCTGTCTAGCGGTACAGCCTTCCTGGCTTGGATATACCTTCAGCTTTCCATTCACATGAGCATCTGTTTCACTGTAATTACTTCCAACAGCCTTCGCTGAACTAAAAGCAAATACTAGTACATAAAGCAAGCGGAAAACAGCTACGCTACCTAAACATTAGATGGAGTTTCAATAACATACTGGAACAGTGCAGTCCTGAAGATGAAAGCTTGTACAATCCAGGTGTCGCTTTTCATTTTCCTCTTAATCAATATGCCTGTCTATATTAATTTAATCACAGATCACATGCAAAATAAGGTTCCTTACTTTAAACCCTCACTTCGGTTATACCAGCAGAACAACTAGACAACAGCACAGACACCAGGCTGTTGCCCCTTTTGTTTGTTTGTTTTAAACTGTTGACTAATTGAAGAACTAGGAATCAGCAAGCACCCATTCTATCTCCCCATTCAAAGAGGAGCTATCATTGTGATAACTGGTTAACGGGAGGAGTACGAAGTGTTCAGCAACCAGATAGGAAGACACTTCAGTGACGCTGAAGGTTGATACTGACAGAAAAAAGGTCACAGTAAACTTTTGCAGAGGCTTTATAAGCTTTATAGAAAATTGTGTCAAGCAATTCCAAAAATTCCCAAATACAATTGTGTATTTTGGAAGCTTTATTTTTGAGAGTAAATCTGTTTTGCAGGCTGTGAGATGAAAATAAAGAGAACGTGAGGCTGATCAACAGAACTTCCATAAAAGCAGGGCTACATCAAAGTGTCAACAGAAGCAAAGACAAGGCAATCTGGCTCCAGCAGCTGCTGAGCAGTCCTCCTGGAAGAGTTTGGCAAATATTTTACTTGTCTACTGGCACAGAAATCCAGATCACTGCACAGAGGGATGTCTTTATCACTGCTGAGATCAACATGCTCTCTGTTAAGGCGAACGTGGGCTCGCTTCTTGCCAGCAGATCTGCAACTTCATTTCATAGAAGACACATTCAGGGGCAAGGAATTGGTCACCAACTGATAAACCAGGATGTTTACACGCAGAGCTATCAGAAACCTCTCACCAGAACAAGGACTAGGTGACTTCAAAGAGCCACAAACCACTTTTCTAGCTGCAAAAAGAACACCAAGAAAGTGAAAGTTTCTAATTTTGCCAATTCTTATCACAGCATCCTTCTTACCCAATACAGTATGTGAAAAAGTACAAAGCCAAAAAATTGTTGGCAAGCCTACTGGGAGAATGGCTGTTTTAAACACAAATACATGAAGATTTGACCTCAGGTGAATTAAAACCATTCAAGCCAATCAGGGATGAAGGAGAGAAAAATGAGGTACCGATGATGTTTGGCAGTGCATGGTAACGCAGCAAGAGGGCACAGGACCTAGGTTTTACTATTCAGCAAGGCTATGAATGTTACCTCCCAGAATCTTTTAAGTATTTTACTGGTTTCATTTGAAGATCGGGGCTAGCAGGTCAGAAAGGAAGCTCTGGATTTGTGATGCAGAGTGACTTTTAGGTTTTTTCACACGGGCATTTGGAGTGACAAAGAGTCCACTGTATTCTACGATGCGCATTCATGGGGACCGGGCTGTTCAGCTGTTCTTCTACGGGAGAAAGATGCACTGATAAATTTTATATTTGTCAGTTAGGTAAAGTCCATTTCTATTTGGTGAATCCTGGCCCACAAGGAATTTGTTTTGGACTGGTATGAAACCCAAAGGGTCAGTTTTGCAAATATTTATTTCAAGATAGAATTATATTCCAGAGTACACTCTAAGCACTTAAGGATGTTCTCTATAGGTCTAGATCATAGAATCACAGAATCACAGACTGGTTTGGGTTGGAAGGGACCTTAAAGACCATCTAGTTCCAACCCCCCTGCCATGGGCAGGGACACCTTCCACTAGACCAGGTTGCTCAAAGCCTCATCCAGCCTGGCCTGGAGGGCACAGCAGGCAGACTCCAGCACAGGAGCAAGCCCCGGGGTATTGGGGGGTGGTATCCCTTGTGCTCAGAACATTTACACAATGCAACTTAAGGAACAAGTCTCTCACCTTGAAGAAAGCCTGCCTTTTGAGTCATGAGGTGTTCAGGATTGACAGAAATTACCCTCAGTAGATCCTCAGCGAGGCTCCTACGATCAAACAGGACAGACCTGCCGGGAGTCCTTTGCAGTGGAGCAAACGAAATGTCAAGGAGCCTTTGCAGAGCAGGATGTGGAGTGTTTGTTGGAAGAGCTTTCAGAGAAGGTATTTAATGGGAGAAGCATCGTTCCAGGCAGAGCAGAACACAGGGATCTGAGGAAGCCCAAGAAAGGGAAGAGCAAGTAAGAGTGCCACTTTACACAGGAGAGAGGGAGGAAGAGGCAGCAAGGCACGCAGCCTGACAGAAGGCCTAGGCAGTGCTGCACAAAACCTCAGTTGAATGAAAAGATGGAGGCTTGCCTCTGTAAGTAAGTATCCTCACTTCAAAAAAGATAGTAACAAATTGTAAACTAGGGATACCATCACCAGCTAGTCTTTTGAAGACACCCAAAATTGAAGAGTACAACTTTTTACCGTGCGTTTAAAATTAAAGCATTCAACTTTTTCACATTTATCTTGTGTAGAAGACAGTCGTTATGTCAGACCAATCTAGCCACTTCTACCTCCAAAATTTACACACATACTGCAGCAAAAACACTCCCTGGCGAAATTCAGTTGTAAGAACCTAACTGATCAGTTGCCAGTTTCTGCAATGCCTTACCCAAATAGCTTCACTAACAGTCCACCAACAATTTGAAACAAGGAACTGTCACCAAGTAGGCACTGAAACACAAGTGTTTTATGGTAATGCCAAAAGGCTGCTTGGACCCTTTGTAAGCTTCGTACTGACAAAATCAGCAGAAAAATTATGGGGGGGAAACAAGAAAAAACCCCCACGTGGCCTGTTTGATTTCTACAAAAGGCACACTGCGCACAAGAAAACTATCAGTAAGTTACCCCTGTATATACACCATGCATACAGGAACTACGATTTTAAAACCACAAGAACTGCCTTCAGAAAATTCAAGCTAAGTGCAGCTGCTGAGCTGCCTTTAGATGAGCAGAACCACTTTACAGTCACTACATACAGTAACAAAAAACGGTGGCCACGTACCTGGACTTGAGAGGTGAACCTGAATGTTGGCCAGAACTGGGGGACAGCACAGACACAGCAGGATTTGCAAGTCCAGGGTACAAACCACGTTCCAAAGACTAGGGTGTTCCAGTGCCTGTAAATCCCCCTGCTCCTGCTAGCTTCCTTCCTACTACACACAGTACAGAACTAACCTGACTCACTGTCAAGGTTTGAACGGGTGTATGAAAAATCGTTTTTCAGGAGAGATGCCACTTGCCTGATTTTTAATTAATTTTTAAATGAAGGGAGGAAAAGCAGACCCTTAATAGTGCATGGATTGCCTGCTGATGGTCAAACTCATGCTACAAGGCTTGGAAGAGTGAAGTTTCAAAATTAAACTGTTTGACTGTTACTACAAACTAAACACTTTATCTGTGATTTAATTTCCCAAAATAACTGAAGTTTTCAAAGACACTCCTACGCAAGTACTTAAGAAATGTCAGCTTGTACAAGTATAAATAACTGAAAGCATGGCTTTCTGGTAGCAATACTCACAGCTGATATGTTTGCCTATCTATCTGCGCCTTGTACCAAAAAAAAACAAAATGAAGTTGCTCACTACCTCAATTGTCCCCAACCACAGGAATTATTAAAATAGTTTCTTAACTACATTACAAAGAATATGCCTAAAAAATTCAGAAACTCCTAGGTACAACTTTTTTTATTAATTGCCCTTCCTTAAGAATTGTTTTTATAGGGAATTACTCCTTATTAGAAACTACAAAAGATACGCCTACAGCCATCCAGTACTGCTCGTTCAAGAACGAGAAAGTGCATCACCTTGTGTAACTTAGAAGCACAGAAAAATTACACTTTAAATAAGGCAGTGCTCTTCTGATTTCATGGCAAATTTGAACTTACAGTAAAACACCTATTAGGAATTAGGCCCAAAATTCTAAAATAAAACTTATGAAATAACATTTCTTGCATATCTCTAGAGAAGACCTGCATACAAAACCAACCTTCCTACTCTGATTCACTGCACAGTAAGTGTTATACAGGGAAAGGGCACACTTTGCTCTTGGATTAAAAATTTCAGAGTTCCTTGTGCTTACTATACAGTTCAATAGAACCATTGTCTCCTTCCAGTGTGGTTTGGATGAAGTGCAACAGACAGTTTCTCACAGGGAGAAACAAGGAGGCAGGAAGAAATAAAAGGGATCATTTTTAAAAGGCATTTTTGTGGCCTCACACACACAGCAGGATTTAATAATTTCAACAATGGCCCTGTCCTCTTCCCTGGGAACTGCATTTAAGTGAAAACACAGGTTTACCTGAACTGACTGCACAGGATGAGCCAAAATATTACCAAAATTACTTCCCTCATTTGTTAGATCTGGGCGGTATTACAGAATTAAAAACCTCCTAATTTCACTACACAAAACTGTGGCCACTAACAGAGTGAATTCCCATCATGGTATTTAGCCATCTTTTTACCACTTTTAATAAGAACAACAACATTTAAACACACATGTCCTGTTTAAAATATATTCACAGCTCTACTCAGCTCTAGAAGTAACTTAAGAAGAAACATGGAACATATGACACTAATCCTTTTTTTTTTTTTGACAGTATGGTATTTTCTACCTTTATTTTCATTTCTGGAGGGTCAGAACCTCCCCCTACAAGGAAAGCATTGCAAGCGGTGCTGCTTGCCAGTGCGCTGGAACTCTTGGCCAGAGACCACCGCTTCTGCCTGAGCCAGCGGTGGCGAAGCGGCCCCGCGTAAAACAAGAGGTGACCATTTCTTTTGGCGACAGTCACAACCGGAGCAGGTCACCTTCACCTCTGTACCTCCACCTCCTCAGCTGGCACCATTTCCTCACTGCACCAAGACAGGTCTTGCTCGGCTTCCTCACAAATCACCATCCTCGGCTCCCCTGGCCTCCACCGTCATGGTTGCATCTCCTTCCTCTTCCGTGACCATGAATTCCAACGCACAACTGCAACAAGCTACGTGGAATCACGGGAAAGGTACATACCACTTCAGCCCGCAGTGGTAATGCTACACACCTACATTACCGACCGCTGGTCATATAAAACGCAAAAGATCTGGAAGAGCTCAACTTCCTTGCAAAACAAAACTGCACCTGTAAAACATCTGAAGAGATCCCACAGCATTTGCTTACCATTTATAAGGACTCAAAGAAGGGATTGAATGTTTCACCCTGGGTTCATTGTTTCATACAGTGGAACCATTAACCTTCCTCTTTCTTTGAATGCAGGGAAAAGAGATGCTGAGCTTTCAAGGACTAGTTTCTCAGTACTAAGATACAATAAGAACAAAACGTGACACAGCTGAACATATTTCAGGTACAATAGGCAGATGTGATTTCCAACAAATTTGTTATTCCTGCACTCTATAACGACCCGAAGTATTTTCTTTGTTAGCTTTTCCATCCTCCCACTTAATTACAACTTAACAACAAAAGTTTTCCCTTAAGTAGGGTGTCAGTAAAGAAGAAAAATTTTACATGTTTACTCCTCTCCCAGAACCAAGACCAACAGAAAAACATTGAAAAGAAGTTATTACATTTGCGTATTTTTCCATCCTCATGATTTGATAATATCAAGTTGTGGGTTTTTTTAAACTTTTATTCAAACTATTTTGTTATCTCAAAAGACAAAATTTTCTGATTTTTAGTAACTGTGATAGTTTACCTGGACAAAACCACCAGCAGACTGCACAGATTAAGGATACCTAGCCCTGGTATGCCTTAACCTGCCTGCGATGAACTGGCCGACAGCAAGTGCCCAGTAAAGGGAATCAGTTCTCAATCAGTCAGCCTCCTAAAAGCCATCCTTAAAATAACCCATTTATGTTTTTCCCCACTGAAATGTAAACAAATAAAAAGCACTTCGTTGTAAAATCAGCAGATAATGTATCTGATCAGATACTTCACCAAAATCTGAATAGATGGAACATTATCAATGGGCTTTTTACGCTTTAGTCCATAAGCTAGTGAAGAAAAATATTCCTTGAGCATAGAAATACTTCCAATTTCTTACAAAAACTCATTTGGATCCAAATGATTTTGACTATGTAATGCCAACATCTCAGGGTGCTCTGCCCACTGTGAATAAAGCCTTGTACAAAGTATTTCACATTCCTCAAACCCACCTCTTTACCTAAGCCTACCCACCTCACCTCTTTTCTCTCAAACACCATTCACCCACTCCGTGGGAACTACCCCAGTTTTCTCAAAGGCCTAAGGGCCTCACACTGCCATGACAGCATGCGTGCTGGCCACCAATGAAGGTGGTTTACAAAAAAAAAAAAAAAAACCAACACAAAACCAACCACATAAAGATTTGTCATTGTTTTCTTACTAACAACCACTGCCCTAATATCCCCATGAAAACAATGTCAAGAAAAGTTTCTTTCTAGTCTTTGTACACAACATCACTCTGTTAAGGGCAGAATTTATACAACCACAGTGTTTGACTTCACCATATAGACACTAAAAATAAAGAAATAGTTGTCAAAAGAAGTTAGAAAAGTTCTAGGCAATAAATTGTTTGGAGACAGATCTCCAGTTTAACAAATACATTAAAAAAAAAAAAAATCCCAACCCCACCAAACTTAAGATACCCCTTTTTACTTCATTCCACCTAGTGCCAGGCCCGAGTTCACAGCAGGCTGCTTGTGAAACCGGCACCGAACGTGCAGGGGCACTAACCAACACCGCTGGAAAACCAGAGCTCCCTAACTTCCAAAACTCTTGCCTTCCCTTCAAAACAACAGCAAACGAAGAGATGGCAAGCGGCGGGGGAGAACGCACGCTTTCAGCTTTTTACACCTATCAACTGCTCGCCGAAAGATCCCGCGTTGTGCTCCGACACCAAGAGACGCGCCGGTGCGGGAGGGCAGCAGGACCTTCCTTCACCCGGCGCGGGCC